AATCCTGCATAATGGACTCCAGTGCATAGCCATTAGGCAAACAAACTGTGGTTAAACCACAGAATTAATTTGCCCGAACTATTAACACTAAACTATTATATCGAGACCCCTCACGCGCTGCGCGTTCGTTCGGGTCATACGACAATCATCGGCGTCGTCGCCGTGATTAACATAATCGTATCAGCATATCATCAGCTTAATTATCATAAGCCACATGCTGATTAAGCCCAGCCCGCATAATCATAATCAAAAAGTTGTCGACCCATGCGTCCCCCCCGCGGCCGGTAGCAACGCGCACTGTGTACGTGGCCCGGCATTAGACGTTAATGAAAGCGAGCGCTAGATGGCGCCAGTTAATAATTTCTGCATTTAATTTTGCCCCGCTCAGCCGCAGCGACCATCTCCTCAGACGAATGCTAATTTTTTTTTTTTGCTCTCTCTCGCTGTCGATAAATGAGAAAGCGTTTAATGTGCTGAAACGAAGCGTAAATTTCGGTCAAACTAATTTGGCAGCTACAAAGGATGAAGGCAGAGGACAGCAGGCAGCAGTAGTTGAAGCTGGCAGACAAAATACTTGCGATCATGATGGCAGCTAAACTTTCAGAGTGAAATCGAGTATAACAGGAAGCACGTTGCGCGTTTAATAACTTTTGATTTATAGAGAAGGCTTAGCCCATGTCACGCCCCCTTTACTGTTTTGCGAGCCCTCGCACACATCTGCTGCAAAAAATGACGTCAAATTGCGAGTAGTTAGGCAAAAACTTTGCTGCCTCTTCAACACACGCTCTCTCTCTCTCTCTCTCTCTCTCTCTCTCTATGTGTGTGTGTGTTGAAAACTTTTTGCATAATTGGTGTTATGTGGCAGTGGAATTTAATATCTGAAATGTGTGAGGTCATTGCAACTGAACTTATGCAGGTGGCCTGGGCCAGATAAACGGCTTAGGCAGCAAAAGACGTGCCAGAAAGAAGTTTTCAAATATAACTAAAGAACTAATGAAAGAAATTTTTCAAAAATTATTATCTAAAGAAATTGTTAAGAAATATTGTTTGTAATTTAAATGGCACTGAAATATGCATAGAAATTGGAGTTGACTAAAAAAATTTTTTTTTTGTTAAAAAAATTTATTTGTAGAAAATTTTAAAACAAATTAAATATTTTAGTATTTCATAAATATTATTAAAATATAAATTTCATTGACTATCAAATTTTATAGCCAAACTGTTGCATTCCAAAATGAGATGTTAAGTATAAAAAACAGCATAAAATAAGTAAGATTGCTCTAGTTGAGACGGCTCCACTAGGAGATACCCCGTGAAGCAGCTGCTCCGCTTGGGCTGCAGCATTGCCTTGCAACTTAATTGTTGCATATATTTTTTTCTATGAAGTTTCTTAATAAATTCTAGTTTTAATGGGTTCAGTTTATAATTATAAGGAGAATGATTCTATTGTTTTTTAATATATTCTGCTTGGTAGTCAAAACGCTTTTGCATAGGCTAGAAATAATTTTCACTCCAAAGGAATAGCTCCAAAATGAGCTGTTTGAGGACTTCGACAGCTTCTGTAAGCATTCAACTCACAATTCCATTTTTATGTTGAAATACAAAAAATTATCATGAGGTATCATGAGTCGTCAGAGTCCTTAGCTGGATGATCCTTTAAGTGGTTTTATTTATAATACTTCTCAGCATTCATGACATTAATATATTTCTTTGTCTCTCCTTCCATATTTCACTATGCATATTAGTCACATAAATCTCACGAAATAAAAATGTTCATTTAAATTCGACCAGAGCCAAACCCATTTCAGTCGACTATAGCAAAAATATGGCAAAACTTTTTGGTTTCTGAGCCATTTAAAGCTTTTAGTAGCTGTGCAATATTTAAGTCATAGTTTTAAGCATTGCCAACTCGTGCCATGTATATGTATGTGCAAGTACTTAGCTTATGGGGCTTACATTTGCCGAATAGAGGCGAGCACAATGCGAAAGTCGTTGCCGTCTGACTGATTTCTAAACTGTCCTTTGTTGGACAGAAACAAAAATGCATTAAGTATATGATAACCATTCCCACTAAAATCCACTGCCAGCTCCCAAGCCCCGTCCCAGCCCGCTTTAGAAAACGACTTGCCCTCGCCTGCCGTTTCGCCAGTGTTGGGCAACGCTGCAACTTTTGCCACAATGCACAATTTTTACGCGCTCTACTTCATAAATTAAATAGCAGCCGAGTGACATGGGAATGTCTATATGTGTGTGTGCGTGTGCGTGCGTATGTGTGTGTGTGTGTGTGTGTGTTGCGTAATTTTGCTATACACAGACATGCACAGAATGCCATTGTCTTCTGCGGTTGTTAGCAAACAAAACGTCAAGAAAAGTAATTCAGTGCACAAAAGCGACGGCTCGGCATTTGGGAAGAACTGAAATGCGATGAGACAAGGCGACACAAGACGAGACAGGAGCAGACGAGTCGAGACGAGACGAGATGAGTTTCCACATTGTAATGTTCCGGATTTGACAAAGGCTGCATACCGATGCCGGTTCCTACTCGCAGCCGATCGAAATTGACAGCTGCTCTCGGTTTAAGCCTTAAAGCCAGCCGGGCCAGGCCCAGCAACCTTTTGACAATTTAATCGCAATTCTTTGCATATTTTTTATCGATATTTCAATTGTGAATTTCAGGAATTCGCTGCTCGTTATAATATTTTCAAGATTACGCTAAGGCAGCAGCTTAACACTCTCAGTGAATTGTTTTTTAAATTTGAAATTTCAATTCGCTTTGGCTACCGCCAGCTATGCCAATGACTTATTTAATTAATAAATATTTTTTGTTTACACTGTTATTAATTTTTCTTTGTTTTTTTTTCTCTTTGCTGTTCATTTTAATTGCAGTAAAATGTGCACAAATTTGTTTAACATTTTTATTTATTTTTTTTTTTAATATTTCTTGTGGCGTTTATCGAACTTAATATTTCAGTTTGACGCCGTTTGCTGTTGTTGTTGCTGCGCTGTGTGGTGGTATGCATAAAAAATTTGCATTAATTATTTTCGCTCTGCAGCAATATTTATTGTGACAATATTTGATAGGACATTCTGGATCAGCAACAATCAGGCAGTGCGTCAGAGCCGCCTGCCTTTGTGTGCGCAGTACGCATAATTAACCAATAGACTGGCATAAATAACAACAAAGTGCCATAAATTAAATCACTCGTACTACGTTCCTATACACTACAGTCGGTGGCATGACTTGATGAAGATGTTCGTAATGCATAGAGAAAAGATATTGTTAGTTGAAGTTAAGGAATTGATCGGGACAGATAATGATAATGCACGTGTTGAAAGCTGTATTTAGAAGTCAATAAGTTGCTCTTTACACTGCATCTGCAACTCGAGACTAGTCAACAAAATTGAGTATCCAGGGAACATATTTTCGTTTATATATCAGATAATCTATACATTGCCTTAGAGAATGCTACATATTTGCTGCAGCTAGTCCAGCAGAAAGGTTGGCTCAGTGTCTATACTCTTAGGCAAAGTGAATAGAATATATAGATCCGTCTTGCTGTCCCTCCATCTGTCTGAGCCTACTTAAACCTAAATACCTCTAAGTAAACTTGCCTTTAAAGATTTTTTCCATACGCCGAATAAAGAAGTAGTGTCAATTTGGGAAATTCTATATCTGTTATGACAGAAATACTAGAGTAATATATGCGATAAGCTGCTAGAGGCTTGAAATTTTGAATGTATACTCTAGAAGACAAGGCAACAACAAAGCTATATATAGAAGATATATCTGTGGTTAATGGAAATAAAATCATGGCTTCTTAAGTTTATTTACAAAACCTTTTACTATTTGGCAGTGAAGTAAATGCAGGCTGTCTCTTGAGGCTTGCCAAAAATTATTTATCTCTATCATCAAAGAGTATTATGCAGTCACTAAAGCCCACCTGCAACATTTATACTCCTCTCAATATAATTTCCTTTAATTTAAAAATGATTTCTAACACACTTTATCCATATCATGTAACCTCAATAGAAACATACATAAATTTGAAATTTAAAGAATATAAAAATAAAAATAAAATAAATAATAAAAATTCAATTTTATTATATTTATAAACAAATTTTAGTACATATAAGTAAGCCGCCATCACACAAATAAAATGTCTAAATGCCATTTTTATGTCTTTGTCTCTGCAAGAGTATTCAAGCTGCGACGTGTTTTTATTGCATATTTTTTTACGGCTGCTCAAATTTTTATTGTGTATTTAAATGATGACACAAAAACGTCGCTGTAAGGACTTAAAGTATGAAATATACTTTAAAAACTATAAATGATATTGTTGGCTTAATGAAAGTTTCCGAATGAAGCTGTCAAGCGACTGAGCTGCCACCGTTGACATGCTCAATTGGCGTCGATAGCAAGCAGAAGTTGTTTTTATAGTGAAAGAGATATTTGTTTAAGTACATGTAAACTTATTCAGAGTAAAGGGAAAAATGATTTGTATAAATTTGAATTAATTATGCTAAGTCTAAAGTGTACCTAGCGATGGCTGTTGGCATTTTCTATTATGGATTCCAGTTGTCTAAAGTTGTATATATATATGTATATGTCGGAGATTAAGTCAGTGTACAATCAAGTCCATTTCCTGAATGTCAATTTATTCTGACGGGCTAATTAATTCATATGTCTTTAACAACTGTGATGCTTATGATCGTAATGCTCGTGAAAGTCGCTGTTCTAGCATAAAACATCGAAATTATATTTCGCCATTAATAACATAAAGTTTTCTCTGTAATAAAATTCATCTTATTTATATATAAATTATATTTATTTATTTTATACTGACTTAAACTTATGTAACTCTAAAAAAATTACCCAATACAACTCTTCAAATATATATAGAAAAACTTTACTCTGCACACATCTAGTCCAACTAGGATTTTACTCAACATCTTTACCAACTGGAAATACTAATGTAAATTTCGTAACTCTCTCATTGCAGCTCTTTAAAAATTTAAATTTGAACAAGAGAACCCACTACAATCCCATTAACTGCAGACATTAGAGGCAAACCAAAAAAAAAAAAAAGGAAAAAAACGTAAAGAAATATCGAAGAAAATTCGAAAAATTAAAGCAGCAGCAGATAAAAGAAGGCACTTTGATTGCAACATAAAATTGCCACAGAAAATTGCATAAAATTGCAAAAAAAAAAAAAAAAAGGAGATCAAGAGAAAGGGAGATAGTGAGAGACAGGCGAAAAAATACGAAGATAGTCGCATCTAAACGGGGTCAGTAATTTGCTGCACGATTGCCAGCCGAGCCAACCAGCCAACGAACTGGAAGTTTAATTGCCACGGCTCTCATTGTTGGCGTTGCTGTTGCCGTCTGAAGCGAATGCAACAATTAAAGCCAAAAACTTTTTGGACAAAATGCTGCTGCCAACGCCCTGCCCCCAACTAGCTGAGCAAATCCATTGGCAACAACATTTGTGCAGGGCATAAGAAACAAACGGAGCACGCACTAGCAACAGACAAACAAACAAGCTCCCACTATAGCCAGCAGGAGTATCTTGAGAAGTAGCCGAACAGCGCAGCAGGAGCAGGAGGCGTGGCAGCAGAAGCAAAGCTTCAAAATTGTCTGCTTCTAATTTGAATGGACTCAACAGCATTCGACATACAAATGCATATTTGGAAACTTTTGTTAATTGGTAAGTGACAATGCTTCGACTTCTTTTTACGCTTCAATGAAAGGGAAATCTTGACCCAGTCGCCGGCCCAGTTAGCCAGTTAGCCAGAAGTTGGCTCAGGCACCAAATAAGAATGCTAATTTTCAACTTTCAATGCGCTGCACTCGTTAGCAAAAAGACAAAAACATCAAAAATAAATAAATAGAAGAAAAGGTTCAAAGCAAAAATTTAAAAAAAAAATTAATTTGGCTTATGGAAGAGTTGATACCCTTGATAAAATGTATAGGAGATAAAGGAAGTATTAAAGAAAAGATTTATATTTTATTATTTATATTTAATTTTTTCAATTTGTGAAAGACTTGATACCCTAGCCAAGCTTGAGCTAAGAGAGGTATTAAAGAAAATATTTCTATTTTGTCTGGTAATCTATTTTAATGAATATGAGAAATATTTTGTGTTAAGAAAGATATTAAAAATTAGCGTATTTTATGTTAGAATTTTTTATATATTTTCTTAAGATTTTTTCTTTATGTTAACTAAAGCCAGAGAGCTCAAGACTATTATTTTTAGTCTATATAATATATATTTGAACTTGTATATACTCTTCTATTACTGTAAACAATTAAGCTTGAATATAAACTAGAAATATTGTATTTTATTTATTTAACAGTATTAAAATTCAAGAATATTCAATATATTTTATGTCCTCTGCAGCAATTCCAAAAATTTAATTTGAAGAAATACTTCATCTCTATACACAATTCTTAGACGACAGTAATCTACCTATTATGTATTATGTATAGACAATAAAAATTGTAGCTCTAAAAAAAGAGCTCAAAGCGCAGTTTCAGAGATAACAAATGCTTAAGATATTCATCACTTCACTTACTGATTTGCTAAATATTAAATATGGAAAGTTAAGTCAATATGCAGAGAGTTAATTAAACTAAGCTTTAGTCAGCCAAAGCAGGAAATTATATAATATTTCTGCTCAGGCTGCAGAGCTGCAACCTCCACGCTTAAGGCCTCTAGAGATTCATAACTCAATTTAAAATATATTTTCAATCACTATCATTCGCTACATAGACACGAACGCACTTTATAAGTCACTCTGTAGGGTATAAAAGGCAAGAGGAAAATAAAGCAAGGACAAGTTTGAGAAAAGGGTTTCGTGTTGCTGGCTACCTATCTCGCTGCAGCATCCTTTTTCGCTCTTCATATTTAACTTGGCCTCCAGGCAGCTTGACTTCCGCTCCAGCTCCGGCTGCTCCAGCTGCTGCTGCCTAGAGAATTCAGCATATTTTTTTCTTAAATTATTTTTTTCGCTGTTGTTTTAAATAGTACTTGTACTTTTGCCTACTTGTTACCCGCCTCAACTTGAGCAAGTTTCAGTTACGTTCCCTGCGTCGAGTGTTAAGTGTCGAGTGCGCCTCGGGAGCGTGCCCGGACCGTTGGCAGGGGCAGGACTGGTGCCGGGCCGAGTCATCCTCTTCCTCTTCGAGGTGTTTAATTATGGAAGCCGCACAAGCAGCAACTTGCGGCCGCTTAGTTAATTTGTTTTAAAGTTATAATGCCGACTTTATAAAGCTCAACTTCTGTTGAAACGCAATTTTCAAGCGTTGCTAGCGAACATTAATTGCATCAAAACTAACGCAATCCACGGCATATGCTGCGAATATGCCAAGAGAAATAACAGCAAATAAATTCATGAATTGAAGCTCCTTAGGTTGCACTGGATGCAACTGAATTGTGGTTTGTTTAAAAACAATTTTAATTAATATTCAAGTGGAAATTCTTTGAACATTTACAAAATGTGTATATGTTAGAGAATATGGCTGATTATCCAGCTGTATATATGATCCAACTTTATGCCTAGCAAAGCCTTGCCTTGTGCGTAACACTCACAACTGCTTCCCACGAGATCCACTCTTACACTGACTGTTCTATGCCACTGATTCCAGAGATCGTGAAGCAATACACCAAGTGTGAGTGTGAGTGTGTCTGTGACTGTGTGTGTGTGTGTAAATTCTGCGGTAAATGTCTAGCGCTCTCTAAGCGCTACTCACTTATGCAGGTACTCTGCGACCTGTTTCACTTCCACTCATAGCCACGCTCAGCCTGCGAAGCAGAGAAACTCAGAGAGCTTCGCAGCAACGAAAGACACAAAGGGATAGAACACAGGAATAGAACAGACAGAAACAGAATGGAACATGCGAGTCGCTGCTCTCCTGCTGAAACACATAAGCGATTCTCTTTCTGTTGTTTTCATGCAATTTTGATCAACACCATGACCCATCTGCACACACACACAATAATGTATAAGTTAACACACCCGACCAGCCGCATAGTGAATAGAGTAGCACTCTTAGTGAGCTCAAATTTCGCTAACAAACAATAGTAATATTATAATATGGAAATCATGAATTGTTATTATCTATTCGATAATTAATTAAATATCAAATAAATAATGAGTTTATGGAGTCGATCGACAGTCTTCAGTCAGACTTCTCTGTGAATAGAGTTCTATCTCAGCTTATCTCGACTTAATAATAAACATTTATCATATAAAATTAAATGTCACAAAGTCGTATATAAATATATATATTAAAGTAGTTTTTTTTTTGGCTTTTAATTTTATTTTATAAATGTTTATAATTTAGTTAAAATAGATTGACGTAGAATATTAATATATATTCATTAAAATTTCCAATATAATTTATGCAAATTTGTATTGTCATAGTTAAATGCAGCTAAATCAATTAACACAAGAGCGTCCAGAGCATATTAATATATGTTAATTATATATTATATATATATATAGAAATATTAATATAAAATTGATTTAATTTAAATATTTTTTAACTTTAAATATAATAATTTAAAAATAATAAGAATATATTTTATATAAAATTTTATATATATATATATATATATATATATATATATATATATATATATATCAAATTGAATTTATATGTTTTATATTTATTTATATATTACCAATATATTTATCTTAATATAGCTGACCAAATGCAAATTTATTTTTAAATCAAATAACTTATACATAAAAAAAAATTAATTTTTTTGACTAATTTCCCTGCTGAGATTGACCATTTTTTAGGCCTAGCTCCATTCTGTGAAAATATTAATACTTTGCACTATTTGGAACTAGAGTTCACAAAGATTTTGTAGATCTTATTAGACTAATATAAGATTTCATAGACTAGGCTTCTATTGGCACTTTTTTATATTATGACATATTATTGTATTATATTATATTATTATATTATTATGTGCTAAAAGCCAATCAAAATTAAAAAATTGGACAACAAATTCAATAGCAATGCCAGCCCGATTTTTATAAATATTCGTCGAGTTCTGGGCATCAAATACACTTGACATGAGCATTTCTATAAAATCTTTTTGCTGTTCATTCGACACACTCAAATGCCTTCGCGCTCATGTAATACTGTTTTTATTTGTTTCGATAAGCCACTTAAAATATAGTTTTTCAAAGCATTTGAGCGAGTGCCGTGTGCGGCGCTCAGCTAACACTGCAAGTTTGCCGCTTGGCATTAGGCAGAGTCAATTGGAAACATGTTGACAACAGGCACTAGAAGCGCTTTAAATTCGATTGCATTTAAGCTCACTTTCAATTACGATTTCATGTCCTGTGCAGCTACTGCTGTGTGTGTGTATGTGTGCTTCCTTTATTTTTTGGTGAAACTTTCTGAAACGACATCCTCCTGGCAGGAGAGGAGCTGCTGTGCTCTTAATAAAGTTATACAACTATTTCAAGTCTTTGGCTGCTGAGGTCGAGCACGTCACACACACAGACGCAATCTTGGCTGATTGATGACATCGATAAGTTTTTATAAATTGCTCGCATGTCCTGTGTCGTGCGCACATCCTGTGTGATGCCTGCAGCAGCAGTAAATTACGCACGCATTTGCATGCTCTGACCACAGCTTGGCTCAAGCTCAGCTCGGCTCTGCTACATTTTTTGTGGCATTAGCCAACACTGAATAATTATGCTTGCAGCACAAACTCCGGGGCCACAAAAAATAGGCAACTGCACTTAAGACTTGGGCTTAGTGGCTAGCCGCTAAAGCGAGACAGAGCCAGACAGAGGGGGAGAGAGAGAGGGAGACAGACTTCAGCTGCAGTTGTACATAACGGCACTTTTGCCCATGGGCGAGTGTTTTGGTCTTAACAAAAGCCAAAGCAAAAGTCAGACGCAAAAAAAGGCAGAAAAGAACTCAAACAATTAAACTTTGACTGAGTTTTTGCAACTGCCAGACCAAAGCATAGTTTATAGACCTGCTCAGATATGCTAAACAAAATGACTGCAAATGGCCAAGTGCACAACGGCTTCTACATACATATATACAAATATATATACACTCGTATACACAGGTTATAGTGCGTTTGACACTCTGCAGCAGGAATGCGAATGTTTTGCCTTTTGCTTTTAACGAAAAAGTTTAAAGTTCCTTTATAGCCGCCTGCTGTGGCTAACGAAGGACGAGAATGCTACTTAAAATTGTTCACAACTTGCCAAAGTTTGCATCTTGTCGAAAGTTTGGGAAATTTAGAAAATTCCTATGCTGACTTAAAAAGTGTTCAAAAAATTCAATTTTCAAATATTTAAAAGTTTCTTATACGCACTTTATGCTTCTGCTTGAATTTTATGAAATTTTTGTCTTATACGTTCATTCACCAACGTCAACAGCCAAGTCTACACAAAAAGCACAAATGTTAACTGAACGAAACGTATATTTGTATAAGTACGGAAAGCTTTAAGCTCAGCAGCGTTTATAGCAGACTTCATAAAGCAGCTTTTATTAAAATAGAAAGTAAAGCTTTGCTTATTATTTTCTTATACAAGTATTAGAGTCCGCAAGCTTTAGTAAAGTGCCTAAAATATAAGTAGTAAGTAAATATAAGACACTTGCATGGAATTTATAAAATATAAGACTAGCAGCAATTGGGAAATATGAGACAGAAAAATAGCAGCTGATTTGAACATATAGGACATAAGACCAACAGATGCAGCAGAACTTACACGGAATTAAAACACGTTAGGTATTAAAAGGAAATATGAGAATAGTTGCAAAATACCTATCTTGTATAGGGTAGAAGACTTAACTAATACAGCATAGA